AGCTGGGTCAAATGGTGGTTCCATTCCCAGCTTTCCAAGAAATCTCCATACTGCTTTCCAAATTGGCTGCACCAGTTTGCAGTCCCACCAGCAATGAACAAGAGTGCCCTTTTCCCCGCATCCTCTCCAGCACTTATTGTTGTATTTTTTATTTTGAACAGGGTCTCACTAAGTTGCCCAGGCTGGCCTGAAGCTTAGGATCCTCTTGCCTTGTTGTTCCTACTAGCTGGGAGTACAGGCCTGCACTGCCATGTCAGACTTCCTGTTTTTAAAAAACAGGACAGATAATATTAGTCAGTTAAGGTTAATTTGAATAATCAAAACTTGTCTCCCAGATTTATACTAATGCTGTTGCATTTTTGCTTGGTGGTGAATGGAAGAACTAATTTAATGATAGGCTTTAGTTTGAAGTTTGGATTCATTGAGTTGGACGTTGTGCTGTGTTAAGGCTTTAATTTGGGTATGAACTTTATATAATCAATGGTATTCCTGATCATTTCTTTATTATAATAAAAACAACTTTAAAAAAAACTTTTTAATTTGAATTTTTTTTCAAACACAGAATAAAGAGAATGGTATATTTATTGTCTAGATTAGTTATTAGCATTTTGACATACTTGTTTTATCTTTTGTTTGTTCTTTAGTATTTTAAAGCAAATCCTTTAAAAATGCTACTTTACACTTAAATATTTCTGCCTGTCTCTTTAAAAGGAATATTTTCTCATGTTACTATTACATTATTATCACTCTTGGCATAGTCAAAAGTAATTTCTTATACCATTTAATATTGAGTCTTTATGCACAGTGCCTTTGTTTTGTAGTTCATTTGTTCAAATGGGGGTTTAGAAAAGGCTTATGTTAGCTTTTTGTTGTTTCTCTTAAATCTTATTTTATCTGAAAGTATCCTCTTCTTCCCCTTTTTCAAATGTTTCTGACTTTTGAAGAAACTGTTATTTATATCATAAAGTGACTTGCTTTGAATTTGTCTGTTGCTTCTTCTTGGTGTCATTTAACTCTTCTTTTATGCCCTCTATATAGACTAGTTAGATTCAGGCATGATTTTAAAAAAATAAATATATACCATAAATAAAAATATACCATCATTATAGATGGTGATATGCTTTTAAATTTTATTTTATGGAGACATAATTGTTTATGTTTGTGGGGTTATTGAAACGAGTGATGTTTTTATACATGTATACTTTGTAATGATCAAATCAGAGCAATTATCATACCCAAGACTTTGTAATTATGTGCTGTTTAAATATCATATAACATTAGGAGAGGTGGTATACAATAGCTGATTATCCTACGTTCGTGATGCTAAAATTGATCACAAACTTTACATGGTAGCTGCCTGATTATTGTACTATGAAGTTCCCTATCAACGTTTCTCCTTATTCCAGAATGTAAAAAAAACTATAATTTATTCAAAATATAGAGCTACTACAGTTGCCTTTTTTTTTTTTTTGGAATGTATTTGGATTTTTGGCTCTTTATTTTGCTGTGCAAATTTACCTGTAAGTTTGTTACCAAATGTGTGAAATAGTAATACTACAGAAGGTTATTATAAAGGTTAAGTGAGATAATACAAGTAAAAGTCTTGATGCTGAGTAGATGTTTAAAATTCTGAAGCAGGATTGCCATGTTTCCAAGTAGTTTTGTGTAGTCACTGAACTGTTAACTTTGAATTGTTTTAAATATGATTGTTGAGTGGGTACCTGTAACTATGATTTGTGTTAAAGTCAGTAAGTCATATCTCAGTGATTTTGCTCACTGTATTTCTGCTGTAATACATATAAAATAAGGGAATCAGAGTTGTATTTGAATACATATAATAATTCTTTAGCCTGTTGGCTGTGGAAGTTTTTGTTTTAACTTGGGTAGTGTATACTAGTTGTAATAAGATAACCTGTACATTTTCTTGAGGTTTTTATGTGAATACTCATGAAGGTGGTTTTATTCTCTGCCTCTTTTAATTTCTTTTTTTCTGCCAAAAAAGATGTTTGGACCCTTACTGGGTACAAGTAAATATTTAGCACATATGTGTAATTGTCTCAAGGGTCAGTCTGTTGGGGCAGAAGATGTACATAACTTATATAGATGGTATTATTAGATTAATAAATTGTTTGTCTTTTTATTCAACAATTTAATATATACATATACATACGTATATATGTATATAAGACTAAATTTGTTTAGCTGGTACAGAACCAAACACCCAATTATACCATAGTTATGTTGAAATTACTGTTATAGGCAGAGTATAATTAATGAGTTTTATATAACAAACCAAAAAATACATTCTCATTTAGTAATTATTGTGCCCTATGAATTAAGCAGTGCGGTTATTTGTATATGTTCTAATTTGGAATTTAGGCAGACACTGCTCTTTTTGTATTGCTTATTGTATTCTTTTTATCATTAACCAGACTTATTTACATTAGTTATTATTATGCAGTTAAACATACCAAAATACAAAGTAAGCTTCCTTGGGATCCAGAAGATTCTATGTGTTACCTGATTGCTCAAATAGAAGGGGAAAGAAGGATATATATATATATATATATATATATTAGACACATATATACATAAAAATTAGGCCAAATAAGAATGTTAAAAACACATTTTTTTTTTATTATCAGTCATATATTTCTGCCAGAAAATACTCAGTTTTTTCCTTTGAGTATGACACAGGGATGTGCTTTGTTTTCTCTGTGGGATTTCTGGTCTTTTTTTCAGATTGACAGAAAGCAGAGATGCCATTTATTAATTCAGATGCCTTGGCAGGTGTTTTCTTTCCTATTTTCTGATTCTTAATTAGATAGGATTGCCATGTTGACAGAAGTACAGATAGTATCTACAGAATGCCAGGCCTCACATATGCTGTTTGTTTTTTTATATGCATTATTTCATTTATTTCTAATAGCACGTGTCTACATTATTATGAGTATATAGTATTAATTTATGTATATGCTTTTACAGCGAAGAATCACTAAGCCTAGATAGTTATTTGCCTAAGCTAAGAGTTGGAGTTTAATTCATATTAATATCTGCCTAAAGAATCAGTATTTTATGTGTTATGTTATATAATAAGGGGTAAGTGTAGCTCATTTCCCACCTGGGTGGTGGTTGAATAACCCTACTTATTTAATTATTGTCTTGTCACTTGTTGCCTTGAATTAGGAAGTTCTGTATTTCCTGAGAAAATGTTAATAGGACATGGAGATGAGACTTCTCACTTCTTTCAACAGAATCGAATTCTTTGGGTTGATGAGAACAATCTGACAGCTCATGTAGAGGCTGGCATAACAGGACAAGATTTGGAAAGACAGGTATGTTATCTCTTTAAGATTTTCAAAACTATTCTGTCCTCTATCTAAATGAAGTACCTTTCATGTTACATTCCCCCCCCCCGCCCCCCGGAACTCAATGAATTTGCCAAGTTTTTATGTGGGTCAAGCATTAAGCTAGATGTTGAGAACATAGTAGTGAAAAAGACATTACCTACTACCCTAAGGTGGCTTACATTCTATTAGGACAGAAAGTTAGGTAAATAGAAATTTAATGATTGAGAGTGAGAATTGCCATCTGAAGACTAAATTCAAGTCATCAAATGGGGCCAGGTGGGAAGAACTTGTACAAAGAATGTGTGACAGAATAGGGCAATTTGAGATGAGATTTCAGGATGAGTCAGATTAGCAAAAAAAGAGGTGAGGTGGGAAGAACAAGCAGTCAGAGAAGAAGCATGTGCATAGGCCTTAAAGATAGTTATTGCTTTTAGTGGAGACTGCAGATAACTGAGTATGACTGCAGTGTAGTGTGTATGTAGAACACACATCCTTGGTGTATGTTGGATGGGAGTAGGTGTAGGAGTAAGAGGATGAGTCCAAAAAAACATGAAGAGGTCAGAAAATAAAGGACCTTATAAAACTACTTTGAAAGCTTGAACCTTATCCTTGTACCTTAGAGAATTCTGGCTACTGTGTGGAGGATGAATAGGCCATGTAAGAGCTGATTAAGAGACTGCTGTAATAATTTAGATGAGTGCTATTAGTGACCTGATACACAGTAGGAGGAATGGAAGGGAGCAAAATGGAACATATTGGAAATATAATTCTCAAGTCTTGATGGTAAATTGCATCCAGTAGGTAGATGTTGGTGTTTGCTGTTTACTGAACTTTTCAATGAATAATTTTATTGAAAACTGCTCATCTACGAGTAGTGAAACTTAGAGAGTCCTTGTAGCATGTTTTGGGGATTCTAATGAATTTTTGAAAAACTTTAGGTTCTCTTCATAGGTTCTAAGCAAGTCATTGTTCAAATGGTTGGATCCTTCAACTTCCTGAATTGTGATCAAGGCAATTGTAACTTAGCTTTTGTAAACAAAAGTTAGAAATTCTATTTTTTGGTCATGTATTAATCACTTTGTCCAACTTGGGATTATAAAGACTCTTCCCTCCAAAACTTTAACAGGACATAGAGAAAGATATGATTGTTTATCTTACTTTTTATTATCTTTTTCCTTCTTTTTTGAAATGTTGACTGAAGTTGGTCTGCTGAGACTAATTCTACTTGAAGGGGTTTGAAAACAATATTTAACTATTGTCTTTATTTTTTATTTAATATAGTAAGATGTGGAGAACTAGAATAAATAGAGAACTATAATAAATTAGGAAGCTGATTTTAATTGGACATTTCTTGAGGTGTTAAAGATTATCAAATAAGTCAAGGTTTTGTATGTCAAGATAAGGAAATTTATTAATTATTATAGTTTGTTAAGAACTTCAGTGGGCAGAATAGTAGTATTTAATGAAAAACCCCCGAAAGTCAAATATTAGTCTTCCATTTTGCTAGAATGAGGCATTATCAATCAATATAGCATTTCTTTTTTAAATTAAAAGAATGGCTTTTTATGTCTCTAATTTTACATACTTTATTATAGCATCTTAACCTTTTCAAGCTTTCTTTTCTTTTAAAGGTTAAAATTAAAATTCAAGGAACATATTTTCTTTAAATTTGAATGACATCCTCCTAGACTAGAAACTTCTGATATTTTACCTACTAGTTTATTTTTCTTACTGCCAATGTACCACTTTCTGTTTTGATTGCAGTAGGCTGTAGTTTCTGCAGCAGTTAAAAAAAAATTTACTTAGTTGTAGATGGACACAATACCTTTATTTTATTTATTTATTTTTATGTAGTGTTGAGAATCGAACCCAGTGCCTCACCTGTGCTAGCCAAATGCTCTACCACTGAGCCACAACCCCAGCCCTCTGCAGCAGTTTTGATCCCAGTTCAAGTTCTTCCTTAAAATTTGGTGTCCTTCAGTTTCTATATCAGCTGAGATAACCAGTTTAACATGTACTGCTTTTTGTTTCTGGAAGTTTAAAAAGGAAACAACACAGTCATTAGGAAGCTGATTTTAATCTCTTTAACTTGTAAGTTACTTTGATTTAAGTATGTTTAAGGGAAGTCACTAATGGGGAATTTCTTTTTCAGGTTTATTAAAATACTTTGACTACTTTATTGGCTAAAACTGGGGATGTGTGGCCATAATTCTTTTTTCCCCTTGGGTCCATATTGCTAAAAAACTTATCATTTTCTTTCTTTCTAGATATTAGATCTTAGTGTAAACTTCAAATATAGCTTGTAGCTATATGATGTTGGGCAAGTTACTTTTATGCCTCAGTTTCCTCATCTATAAAATGGGGATGATTCTACTTCTTTAGGTTGTTCATTAGGATTGAATTAAGTTAATACCTAGAATTTTGATTCATTCTACTAATTTTTATGGAGGATTATCTGCTTCATCCAGGTACAGTTAACTTTTTTTTTTTTTTTAAATTATTATTACACTGAAGACTCCCAAATTTGTACCATTGACCCAGACTTCTTTCCTGAATCGTTTAGATTCTTGTATCTAATTTCCTAGTTGATGTGTCTGCTTGGGTAACTAAGGGATATTTCAAACTGAATGTTTTAAAAACTGAATTTTTAGAGATAAAATTTTTAATCATTCCTTCCAATTTTACTTACCCTGTAGCTTTTCATTTTCAGTAGAGAGAAATTTAGTTGATTGAGAGTTAAGATCGAAATCTGAGTCATATATTTTTGTTTTGTTTTGCTTTATAATAGTTTCATTTAAGATGTAATTTTCATATAATAAATTGTCTTCACTTAAAAGTGTACAAATTTTATAAGTATTAAAATATGAATACAACTGTGAAACCCATTATAACCATTAGGATGGTGAACATATTCATCAATCCCAAGAGTTTCCTCTTGCTTCTTTATAATTCTACCTCATTCTTACTCCCAGTCCATACCTTGTCCTTAACAGTCACTGATCCGCTTTTAGACACTGTAGATTTATTTAAATTTCCTATAATTTTTTAAAAGTAGAATCATACAGTACTCTTTTTTTTTTTTTTTTTTTGGAGTGGGGGGACGATGAGGTGTTTCTGGTTGTTTTTTGCTACCATGATTATTTTGAGATTCATCTATATTGTTGCATGTATTAATAGTTTGTTTCTTTTCATTGCTCAGAAGTATTCTGTTGTATAGGTACTCCAGAGTTTATCCATTTACCTGTTGATGAGCACTTGGTTTATTACTAGTTTGGGGCTATTAGAAATAAAGCTGCAGTGAACATTCATGTACAGGTTCTTTTATGGATGTATGTTTTCTTTCTCTTGGGCAAATATCTGGAAATGAAATGGATAGATCAAAATAATAGGTTGTTTTTGAAAATATACCAAACTTTTCCTCAGAGTGATTGTATCATTTTATATTTTAGCTTATATTAAGAGTTTCAGTGTCTTCAAATCCTTGCTAATACATTTTATTTTTTTTTAATTTTAGTCATTGTAGCAGGTGTGTAGTAGTATCTTATTGTAGTTTTAATTTGAATATCTCTAATGACTCGTGAAGTTGAATATCCTTGTATATGCCTAGTTGCCATCCATGTATCATCAGTGGTAAAGTGTCTGTTGAAATTGTTAGCCCTATTTTTAAGTTGAATTGTTTGTTTTTCTATAATGGTGCTTTGAGAGTCCTTTTGTTTTTGGTGCCAGGGATTGAACCCAGGGTACCTTACCACTGATTCCACTGAGCCACATCCTCAGCCCTTTTACTTTTTATTTTGAGTTGGGGATCTTGCTAAGTTGCTATGACCTTGCTAAATTGCTAGGCTGACCTCGAACTTTCAATCCTCCTGTCTCCTCCTTCTGAACCAATGGGATTACAGGCATGTACCACAATGCCTGACAAAAGAGAGTGTTCTTTATATTCTCTGTATAAAGTCTTTTCTCAGGTACATGTTTTGCAGATACTTTCTCCCAGTCTGTGGCATGTCATTTTATTCGGTATATTAATTTTTTTATCTTACACATCATGCTTCTGTTATTGTTTCTTAACATGAGGTTGCAAAGACTTTCTCCTATTTAAGTTTTATAGTTTTTGGTTTTACATCAACTAGTTTAGAAGAATTCTTAGTTTACATATAATTTGAGGTATTGATATTGATTGAAGTTGATTTCTTTTTGCATATGGATATCTAACTTTTCCAGCACCATTTGTTGAAAAAGATAGAATTTCTTCACTGTAACAAGTGCACCATCATTTAAAAACAAAACAAAACACATTTGAGTGTGTGTTTGTGTGTATGTATGTATGTATATATGTATATATATATGCATCTAGTTCTGGAGTCTGTTCTGTTGCATTAGTCTGTGTGTATACCTTTATGGTAGGACCAGACTGAATTACTGCAACATTTTAAATTCATTTTCACAGTTGTTTGGGTGATTCTAGGTTTTTGTATTTTTATAGGAATTTTAGAATAATTTTGTCAATTTCTGTTTGGAAAAAAAAGCCTATTGGGATTCTGATTAGGATTACATTGACTCTGTATTGGTGAGAACTGACATCTCAACAATATTGTTTCTTGTGACCTGACCCATAAACACAGTATATCTTTAATTTTTTAGGTCTGTAATTTTCCTCAGCAGTGTTTTATGATTTCTATGTGTGGGTCTTAAGAATTTATTAAAATCAGATTAGTCCTTAAGTATTATATAGTATTTAGTGCTATTGTTTGGATTTCTGATTTTAAAAATTAACATATAAAATAGAGTTGATTTTTGTGTATTGTTCTTATATCTGCACCCTTATTAAATTCACTGACTAGGTTAAATATTTTGTATATCTCTTTGGATTGTCTACGTAGATGATCATGTTGTTTGTGAATGAAGACAATTTTATCTCTTCCTTTCGAATCAAAATGCTTTTTTTTTTTGGTACCAAGGCTTGAACCCAAGGGTGCTTAACTACTGAGCCACATCCCCATCCCTTTTTAAATTTTTTATTTTGAGACAGAGTTTTGTAAGTTGCTTAGGGCCATGCTAAGTTGCTGAGGATGAACTTGTGATCTTCCTGCTTCAGCCTCCTAAACTGCTGGGATTATACACCTGTGTAATCTGGATGCTTTTTATTTCTGTTTCTCACTTGATCATGCTGACCAGAACCTCTTAATACAAATAAATTTGAGTGGATATCCTTATCTTATTACTGATATAGATGTATTCAGACCTTTAACATTAAGTGTATATTAAATGTAGGTGTTTTTTTTGTAGATACCTTTTATCAAGTTGAGGAAGTCCTTTTCTACATTAGTTTTAGAGTTCTTATTAGGAGTGAATGTTGGATTTGTCAAATTCCTTTTCATATTTTATGGCAGAAGTTATGGTAATTTGAGGTCTTGTTTTCTAATAAAGGGTTTCACTGTTGTAAATTTTTGCCTAACTATTGCTTTATTGGCATCCTCAATTTTTACCCCATTCATGTCATAATATTTTCTACTTCTCTTTTGATTTTTTTCTTTGACCTAAGCTTTATTTATGCTATTTAGTTTCCAATTATTTAGAGATTTTTTAACAGACCTTTGTCTGTTTTTAATTTCTATCTTAATTCTATCGTGTTTTAAAAAAACTACTTTATACAGCTTGGATCCTTTCAAATTTAGTGTCACTTGTTTTATAGCCCATGATGTGGTCTGTTTTGTACATGTTTCATGTGTACTTGCAAAAACTGTGTCATTTGCTTTTTGGTGGCTTAATCTATAAATATGTATTAGGTCAAAATAATTTATAGTATTATTTAGGACTTATTTATTTTTCTTATATACTGTCTGCTATTTGATCAATTATTGAGGGCCATTAAAACCTCTAGTATAATTGCAGATCTGTCTACTTATACTTCTATCAATGTTTACTCTGTGTACTTTAAAACTTGTTATCAGAGGACAACAGTAAATAAATGTTGAAGATTATTGTGTCTCCTTGATTAATTGACCCTTTTGTCATGATAAAATATTCTCTTTTATTCCTGATAACATTCTTTGCTCTGAAATCAACTTTAATATTAAAATATCTACTGTAGTTTTCTTCTGATTATTGTTAGCATGGTATGTTTTTTCCCTTTTTCTATTCTTTTGCTTTTAACTAGTTTGTATCTTTATGTTTAAAATACCTTTCTTGTTGGCATCAGATAATTGGGTCTTTTCTTTTTGTCTAACCTGAGAGTTGCTACCTTTTCATCGGGGCATCATTTCATCTTTTGACAGTTTTAGTTTGTTTGTCATCTTGCTAACGGGTTGAGCATCCCTAATCTCAAATTTGAAATTCTCCAGAATTCAAATTTTTTTGAATGCCAACATGATGCCACATGCAAAAACTTCACATAATGGTTTGAAGTCAAATTGTAGATACCCAAAAAATACTGTATAAAATTATCATCTGCTGCAGGCTGCCCGGCCCCGGGCCCTGAGCTCCGCTCCTGCCGCTGCGCTGCTGTCGCCAAGCACTGCCTGCCGAGCACTGCCTGCCGCACCCCTGCTGAGCGCTTCCCTGCTGGGCTGTCAGTGCACGCCGGCTTGCAATCTTGCAACCCGGTTGGGCACAAAAACACAAGCCAGTCAAACTGAGACAAAGTTTTATTTTGTGAGAGGCCGTGTGCGTCCCCTAACAAGTGGGTCCACCACGTGTGTTCTACCTGAGGGGGGGGGGTGCTCCACTTCCCCCGGAACACCCTCCTACCATCCTTTCCCAACCAATGGGAACTCTCCCATTACAAGAGTGACATGAGTAACCTGAGTCCCGAAACGGGCCCAGGTAAACAGCAGGAGACAATTACCATAATGTAACTTAACATAATCATAATCTGAATGGCTGGTTGGCAGTCACTAAACCCAAAGGTGCCTGTATCAATATTTTTGCTGTGGCTCCTAGCAATCATCTATCTGTGTGCTTACGATATATATGAAATATAAATGAATTTCATGTTTAGACTTGGTTTCCATACCTAAGATATCTTATAATATATGTATATATATTCTGAAATCAGAAAAAAAATTGAAGTCTGAGCTGCTTCAGATTCTAAGCATTTCAGATAAGAGGTATACAACCTGTATTTATTTTCTATATTGTCCATGTGTTTTTTTCTTTTCCTCTTTTTTACTACCTTTTTAAGATGTATTATTTTTTAATGATACTTTTTATTTCCTTTGTTTCTTTATTATCTATGACCTTTTATTTTGTTATTCTAGGGTTTACTGTACACTTCTTTAACTTATAACAGTTTTACTGAATAATGGCCTCAAAGGGCAAGAGTAGTGATGCTACAAGAGAAGCCTAAAATACTGCATAGGGTTTGATACTATCCACAGTTGCAGATATCCACTGGGGTCTTGAATATGTCCTCTGTGGATAAGGGGAGACACTGTACAACCTCCACAGTTTAGGATTGTTTTTGTTTTGGTGATGTATCTGAAGCTCGGCACATACTGAATAAATACTTGTTGTTTTGGTATTGAAGGGGACACAGAAGTGGGATAAAGATCCTGTTCTTATAGTTTTTCATGGCACATGAGAAGAGATTGATGGACAAAGTTGTTACTTTTATATAATGCAGTATGGAACAGAGAGGTTATTTTGTTTAAAAGATTATTTGTTAAGTGTATGAATAAATCTGGACCTTCCTTCAGATTATTCTTAGGTAGCTAATGACAATAACAGAAAATATAAGCTTTTAAAGGATAAAGTGGCTCCTATCATGTATATGGTAGTAGATACAATTATAGAGTATTGTGTCCCAACGACAGTTTCTTAGTAAATTAGCATCCTGTAGTATGCAGATTTTCTAGCTAGGATAAATTTTTTTTGTAATATTTATTTTTTAGTTTTAAGTGGACACTGTATTTTAGGTGAGCACTCTACCACTGAGCCACAACCCCAGCCCCTCAAACCCAAGTTTAACTATTAATACTTAACTCACTTACTTAGTAGGAAGTTAGTGAGATTTTTTAACAAGAAAGTAGATTAAAATATTTGTGCTAGGTAGAGTTCCTTCAGCATAAGAACTCCTTGTTTTTATTTTTGGAGTCTTTATCTTCATTCCTTTACATAATTCCTGGCACATAGTAACTATTTGTAATTGGAGAAAGTAAGGAAATGGCTTACCAGATATAAGATCCAACTTAATAGTATATCTTAATATTGGATATACTAATGGAAATAGTTTAAGTGTATATTTAATGATGTGAAGGCTTCTGAGTAAGTAGTGTGGAAGTTCATTTTGTCATTAAAATATGTGAAAATTCTGTTTAGTGCATGCCACATCTTAGGACTCCATAAATATTTTTTTCTTTTCCTAATTTCATAAAATTGAGTAACTAGTTTTTTTGAGAGAAAATAACATCAGTTTAGATTGTGAGTGGTGTTAGAGGAGAAATATAATGTAACAATCTGATATTTTTAGTTTTAACCTGTTCAGACATGTACTTGGTTTATTTGTGGGTAGTTATTAACCTCATTTCAAAAAATTATTAGTTTATTTTGGTATTGAGGATTGAACCCAGAAGCTTTCTACCTCTGAGCTACACCCAACCCCTATTTTTTGTTTGTTTTAGAATTTTATTTTGAGACAGAATCTCAGTTGCCCAGGCTGGCATCAAACTTGGAATCCTCCTGCTTCTACCTCCCAAGTAGCTGAGATTATAGGTGTGCACCACTGTGCTTGGCATTAACCTCCTGAAATTAAATAAATGTATTGGGTATCTAGTGGAAAAGAATGGCAATTGGTGTCTTTTCAAATCTTGTTTTCTTAACAGCAAAATAGAAAATATAGTTTGCATCAGTGGTGTACAAAATCTAACAAGTTATATTTAACTAGTAGACTTTCAAATTTGGGATTATAACTTTCATACCACACTCAAATACTCAGATGCAAACATAGCTGACATATTCTATGTCTCTGCATGGTTTACTTGAAAAATAGAAGCAGTTGCTTAACTGGATGACTATCAAAATGGTCAATGCAGATTGATGGGCTTGAGTGCAGTAGATAGTGGATATGCAGATGGTGGTGTCTGTATCATTTGACAGGAGATGGCTGAGTCTTTAAAATTATTTCAGTGGAATGGCTTTGGTGTTGTTGCAGTAAAGGGCATCCATTCAACCTCAGGTGCTGTACAGATGGCAAAGCTAAGCTAATATAGAAAAATGAGAAACAAGTGACTATTTAATGTACAGGAATGCATGATCCGCATCACAAATAAATGATGGTATTACATGCAGGAAACCTAGCCAGATGGCTGTACATGAAAACACATGACTCCTTGAGAGAATTAAGTACAGGCAATTTGCTCAGATTTTCTGCAGGCCTGCTGCATATTATATTAGGGCAGGGAGAACAAGAGATTAAGTGCTTTATTTATTGAAAGTGTTTAGGTGAAGTTGGAAGTTATTTAAGCTTAATCTGTTCTCCATAAGTATTTAAATTGTCTCTTTGTGTGGGTGGGTAGAGGTGAGGAGGGACAGCTGGCTTTATAACAAAAGGATATAAGGAGCAAGATTTTTTGTTGAACCTGTGGACTACAGCTATCTTTTGGCCCACATGTTCCAGTTTTGTAAAGCTTTCCATTAGGCAGAAGTTTAAATTTTTTTGAGAACTACTAATAAAAGTATTTATTTTTCAGTTTCAATGAAAATCAGCAGTGTCATATGGAAATTTTAAAGTGGGAGGAATTAATGTGTTGAGTCTTATGTACAATGGCACCATTTCGCTGTTCAAATGTTAACATTTTTGTTTTCCAGCTTAAAGAAAGTGGTTATTGTACAGGTCATGAACCAGATTCCCTGGAATTCAGCACTGTGGGAGGATGGATATCTACTCGGGCATCAGGCATGAAGAAGAATATCTATGGCAATATTGAGGACCTGGTGAATTTATTTCTGTTTATATAATTGATTAGCATATAGGGATTATTATGAAGAGGTTCATCTTCATCAGAATGTAGCTCTTTTGATTATAATGATGTGGTGTTTGTATGTATGTGTGTGTGTCACATGATTAACACTTAAACTTTGTAGATATTTCACAGTATCCAACTTATGAAATACACAAATATTATTTACAAGCCTTATGGAAACTCAAAGATTTTAGTCTATTTAAGTATTTCAGCATTGCTACTATGTTACTTTAGGAGATTTTAAATTTATTTTTCTGAAAAAATTTAAAAATTTTTTCAAAAATTTAATTAAAGGCTATTTGAAATTGTTCTGTTAAGTAGTGATATGATCTGTAATGTTTAATGTGTTTACCATTTTGTTTTAGCTTATCTGGTGCCAATTTTCTGGGAGTCAGTGTGATAATAGTGTACTTGTAGGCACCCTAGTTAGGTATTAGATATCATTTGTTTCATTGGTAGTTTTTCTAATGATTAGTTATGTGATCTTATGCAAATTGGTTCACCATTATAAACTTCAATTTTCCTTTCTTTTAAAATAGAAAAATAAAATTCACTGCATAGAACTATTATAAGGAGTAAAGGGCATGAAGGGAAAACTCAGCAGAATCTCTGGTGTGCAATAGGTGCTTCATAAATGTTAGTTCCTTTATCTTCAATATTTTGGGAGTAGTTCAAAAGAACTTTAATTTAAGAGGGTATTAAAGTGACGTTCCTAACATTATTCCTGGACTTGTAAAGCTTTCTTTTTTAAATCTAAAGTTTCAACATTTTCAGTTGATGTGAATTTAAAATTTTTAATGAGATATATTTATTGTTTGTAGTTAACACCCAGTAATTTAAGACTCTTGTCAGCTTATATTGTCAGCTCTTTAGAAATGTTTACATTATCCTGGTTTCTTCTTCCCCTCTCTCCCTTTCCTTCTTTCTTTTCTTTCCTGTTGAGGATACCCAGGGCCACATTCATGCTAGTAAGGGCTCTACTGCTGAGCCACACTCCAGCCTATGTGCCCATGTTTGTTTTCTTTTATTGCAGACATTTTTAAAAATTATATTTTTCTTTTTTGTAACTAAAATAACTAAATTCAATTGCAGGGGAGAAGATTTAACTTTTTTTTGCTATTAGATTATGAACTTTATCAGAGGTAGGCAAATACTTGATAAACTTAGATTTGGTACTGCCAAAATATTTAATTTATTTCAGTCATTTTTTGGGAGATAGTTAAGGGCCACAGATTATAAGTGTACATCCTAATGTACTTATCTGACAAGCAGTTACTAAGCACATTTTGTTTTTAACTTAATTTTTTTGCAGCATCTTGTATCCTCTGAAACTATCTTAATTTTCATTGCATTTTTGAAATCTCTACTAAAATTGATATATTTTTAATATCTGTGCCTGCACTGGCACTCATGAAAAATATTACACTTTTTAGAAGTATTAACATTTCTTTAATCATTATTAGTGTATAAAGTATAGTAAGTAATGATATTTTAACTTTGGAAAAAAGTTGAAAAGAGTTATTTATTTGGTCTAACTTTTAATCTGAAGATTCAAAAATCTTGAATACTTTTTGTGTACAATAGAATAAACTTTTAACTTTAAATTTCCCGTCCCCCTCTGTTTCCAAGAACATTTTAAGGAATTCTAATTAAAGTTCAACTTGAGTTATCTTTTGATTTATTAGAAGTCTTTTCACTAAAGGATTTCCTGAGCATTTTTGGTTACACTTTCTTACCCTGATACTATGGAGTTGAAGCTCATGATCTTTAACAATAATCCACTGCCACTGTAAAAGGTGCTCTGCTATACTTTTTCATTATAAAGTACTGTTAGAAGGAAAAGTAGAATCCTACAGTAATAAAATCAAACTAAAAATTCTGAATTTCACAAAAATAAATAAAGTGTGACATAGTAAGCATTTAGTTTTCAGAAGAAAATCCTTCTTTTAAAATCATAACTATTGGGCTGGAGATGTGGCTCAGCGGTAGCGCGCTCGCCTGGCATGCGTGCGGCCTGGGTTCGATCCCCAGCACCACATACCAACAAAGATGTTGTGTCCGCCGAGAACTGAAAAATAAATATTTAAAAAAAATTCTCTCTCTCTCTCTCTCTCTCTCTCTCTCCCCTCTCTCACTCTCTCTTTAAAAAAAAAAATATAAAATCATAACTATTATATGGATAATTTATGTAATTAGACAACAACTTGTTTTTATTTTAAGAATAATATATATACGTATTATAAAAAATTACATGTTCTTTGTATATTAAATACGTAGTCATTTCTAACAATTTTAACATCTTTATATTTATTTTCCCAATTATTTTTCTAGGCATACCACAAACACATATGAGTATATCTAGTTTTTAATATAAAAGGAATCATACTGTGTTTGATTTGTTCTTTAATTTTTGTTATCAGTGTATTAACATGGATGAATGGAGGTGTACACCATCATTTAAAAAGGGTTCACATAATCTTTATGGATAATTCATGGTTTATTAAACAGTCTCCGTAGTTATTTTTTATTTTAAAATTACAGAAAACTGATAAAAATATCCTCTAATGTAGTTTCTTGGGTATATTCCTTTGTTTTAGTAGGCTCCCTGAGGTTGAATTGTTGGATCAAGAAATTTATACATTTTTAAGTCTTTGAATCCTCCAGCCAAATTGCCATATTTGTAATGATTGATATTCCCACTATCACTATGAGAATCTTTGTAGTTAACTAGGCCTTTTTTTAATATTTTGTGTTTTAGTTTTGTGTGTGTGTGTGTGTGTGTGTATTTTTTTTTTTTTAAATTGCTAGAGTGTAAACTTTGAAAATGTCTTCACTGGCACTTCTCATTTCTTATTTTGTGAATTGCTTATATGTCCTCTCATCATTTGCTTTAATAGTAAATAGATCATCATTGTTTAGTGGTCAAAAATCCATTCTAAAAATGTGTTGGATTTTTACCTCTTTACAAATGAGATATTGAAACTGATTTTTAGAATGATCCTTCTTGCCCAAAATATTGACTTTCTTACCTATACGGTGCACTTACATATATCCCTTGCTTTTTCTCTTTAACTCAGTTCTGTCTCTTTAAATCTGTCTATTTTTGTGGTACTTGAGATCTAATCCAGAGCCTGGTGCATGCTAGGCAAGTGCTCTACCACTGATCTATAAGCCCAGCCCCATCTTCATTTGACATGATCATAATTAATATTTCATTCTTTTTTTTGTGGGGATAAGGCAAAAATATTATTTTTCTTAGAATTTCAAGCATGTAGCACAGTACCTGACATGAGTACTAGTGTTTCATAAAATACATTTAAATAGCCAGGTGTAGTGGCATATGCCTGTGATCCCAGCAGTTTGAGAGTCTGAGGCAGGAGGATTGCAGGTTTGAGGCCAACCTGGGCAATTTAATGAGAAATAAAAAATAAATAAAATATATAATTATATAAAAAATATTATCACACATATACATGTATGTTATGTGTACATATGGCATATGTTATATACAATATATAGTGTATAATATAACAATATTATAATGTATATTATATAGTATATATAATCATATACTATATGATATAATATAATAATATATTACTATATATACAAAATGAATGAAAGAATGAGCCTGTTAAAGTAATATCTTCACTGTTGTTTGTTGTTTGAGTCCTTAGTTCTTTGTCATATGGATAACCTTGGATTAAATCTTTAATTAAAGAAGTTTGTTTTTCCATTCTTAAGATGATAAATATGTTTAAACCAGCTTAAATCAAGAGGCATATAATAATTTTAGGATTTTTCTCTCTTTTAGGTTATATACAAATTTTATCTTTAGTCTAAGAATTACTAAAAGATACTAAAGTCCTAAAGGGCATCACAATCTATTGCTTAGCCCCACATTTCTTTTTTTTTAATATTTATTTTTTAGTTTTAGGTAGACACAATATCTTTATTTTACATTTATGTGGTGCTGAGGATCGAATCCAGTGCCTCATGCGTGCTAGGTGAACATTCTACAACTGAGCCACAATCCCAGCCCCAGCCCCACATTTTAAAAGTAGTATTTTATATGAATATGTAAAATGTGTATATATATATATACACACTAATTCAATGGCTGATTCCTAGAATTTACATCCTGTATTGTATTAAACAGGTGGTTCATATGAAAATGGTAACACCTAGAGGTGTAATAGAAAAAAGCTGTCAAGGACCTCGTATGTCAACAGGCCCTGATATCCATCACTTCATCATGGGATCTGAAGGTAAATATAACTGCAGATTTATTATGAAAAAAATACTGGTGACTCAATTTTGTGAAAAATCTGTTATTTGATATCAGATCTTTGAAAGAAAGACATTTTATATACTTAAGGAATAGTAATTTTTAAAAAGTTTTATTATTTTAGTATTTCATAAAGTTTTTATTATGAGAACATCTTATTTAACTTTCTTGTTCATTTTCCTTTTTTCTGGAGATAGTGCATCTTTTTTAAATTACATTTTTTTCTTTCAGAATTTTTAATTAATTTTAGGAAAAGTAGGATGTAAAGTAGTTTAATATTGTGTACTATACTGTTTAATATCTTTACAGTTGTCAGGGGAAAGAACTGTAAACATTATCTTGCTGTCTTATTTTTCTATAATTTTATCTTTTTTTTTTTTTACTATTTGATTTTTAGAAGACCTGAAATTAAATTCTGATTTACATCTTTATTAGTGCATTATACATAATAATAGGGTTCATTTTGACATATTCATCAATGTATGTTACATAATTTTCTTCATTTCAGCCCCCAGTACTTTGAGTCACATATCTTTTAAACCTGTTGGTCATTAAATTTTGCAAGTAGTATCCTTAGCTGGTTACTTAATGTTGGATAGATTAGAATGTAGTTCTTTAGGTCATCCTAAATATGTAGTTGCTATATAGATTAGAAGAAAATTAACCTTTTCTTTATGTTTCACAGACTGTAGGTAGACACAGTGAATTGTATGGATAAGCTAAACATGACCATAATTTTCAGTTCTTTGAATGGGAGGCTTGGAGAATTCAGAAAAATAAGAATTTGGAGAAACAAAATAATCTAAAACAAGAAATTATTTCTAAATTTGATAAATTAAAACAAGAAAGTGTAAATTGGCAGAGGAACTCATTTGCTTTAGAGGTGGTCCAAGTAGAAAAAGATTTTAAGCTATATTGAGAATTGGAACAAGTAGTTATAATTAATTAAGATGTTAGAAGATAGATTGCAATCTTTGATGGTAACATCAAAGAGGAGAAAAATGACAAAGTCTAGCTCTTGGTGTTATGATAAAGTGATATGCTCTTTACCATATCACTAAAATTTGATAGACTCTTGTCTAGGGGTATAGCTTAGGTGTTTTGCATGATAATCAATGAAACTTTTGTTGAGATTTCTCACCAGTTTACTTAGTTTATTCCATTTCTGATCAGMATAATCTTCTAGGAAAAAACAGCTACATTTTTCATGAGAAAAATAAAATATTAAGTTTCTTTAAAATAATATAGTTGTCAAATATTTTTCTGGAAATTCTTACATTAATGCATTATCTAAAAGTTAACTAAAAGAATGTAAATTTTGCTATTAGATTTCAAGGTAAATAAGAAATGGGTATTAAAATTCATATTTATTTATGTATTTATTTATTAATTCATTCAGATACTGGGAATTGGTCTTAGGGGTGCTTTATCAGTGAGCTTCATCTCCAGTCCTTTTATTTTTTACTTTATAGACAGTGTCTTCCTAATTTGCCCAGGCTGGCCTGGAACTTGAAGTCCTCTTATTTCAGCTTCCCAAGTCACTGGTATTGTAGCTGTATACCACTGCTCTTCCCCTAAAACTCATAATTTTTATTATTGATATATACATAGTTGGAATTGAATCTATAAAATATATATTATCTTTTCAAGTAAACTCTTCAATTTTTTTTCTCAGTGTTTTAAAAATTCTGCTTGTTAGGTACTGTGGTAGCACATTTAAGGGCACTTAAGTAGAGGTCATTACACAACAGTGTGATAAATTCTACGATTAAAGTAAATGAGGGAGAAATACAGATCAGGTCAGGTTGATGGGTATTTGAAGGCTTCTCCCGAGAAGCCATACCTAAACTGGTTGTTGAAGGTTGTTAGCAGAAAATAATTCTAGGTCAAATATAGAAAGATGTACAGTATTTACTCTTTAAAAAACAACATAGAAGCAGACTGAGAAGTGAGAAAGCCCCTTGTCTGTTTCATCATGAAACTGCCAGTTTTTCAGTATAAGTAGGACATAAGGTTTAATTGCTTGGTAGAGTAAACAGCAGGTTATAAGGGGACTGGAGAGAGATTTAAGGTAGGAAAACAGTAAAGTAAGTGAAGAAATATGATTTATGGAAAATAGGTATAAATAGTTAAGTGAGATTTTATTATGAATATGTATTCAAAATAGCATACTGATTTAAGAGCATGAGCCATGAAGTCTGTCAGATTTGGATTTCAATTCTAGTTTTATCACTTGTGTTTCTGGGACTTTGTTTAAATTAGGTAATTATCTGTGTCAAATGTCCTCAGCTATAAAATGAAAATAATAAAAGCATCCCTTTTCATAAATTTGTTGTGAGGATTTAATGTGATTGTGCTCAGCAATTTATAAGACCAAATGTTAAGTTTATTACTGTTATTCTGGCTATTCATTATTTTGATATCATCAATCTTTACCATTTATGATTCCTAATCACTATTTCAGCTTATATGCAAATATAGCATTATTTTTATATAGGCCAGGAGATGACATGACTGAGAAAGTAAATTTATGTACATCATGTTCTGTTGTAAAATATATATATATTTTTAATGGACAGCATGCCTTTATGGTTTTTTGTTGTTGTTGTTGTTTTTAATGCTGTGCTAAGGATTGAACCCAGTGCCTCACACATGGTAGATAAACACTCTGCCACTGAGCTATAACCTACACTCTGTAAACCATTTTATCTACTTAATTGTAGAGCAAACAATAAATAAATAAAGACCATTTCCTGAGTTCTGGTATAAGTTATAGCTATAACCTATACCCTGTAAAATGTGTTTTTATGTGCTGTTTTGAACTACATATATAATAACCTTATGCCTTAAATGTGATCATAAACCTTTCCTGAAGGTTAAAAATGTTTTTTTTTTTTTCCATAGTTAAATTATTTGATGACAACCTTGAATTTTTGTTTTGTACCTGGGATTGAACCTAGGGGCACTTAACCACTGAGCCACATCCCAACCCTTTTTATTTTTATTTTCTTTTGAGTTGGGGTCTTGCTAAGTTGCTGAGGGCCTCATTAAGTTGATGAGGCTGACTTTGAACTTGCAATCCTCCTGCCTCAGGCTCCTGAGCTGCTGGCATTACAGGTGTGTGCCATTGCATCCGGTAATCCTAAATTTCACATATACCTAATAACCTGAAGTATAATGTGTTTGTCTTGTTTTGTGTTGTAAATTTTTCATGTTTTCTTCCAATAAGGAGTTTTCTTCTATTTTAGGTGCTCTAACATGATCAGTATAATGCAAATTATAATAAATATTCAAAGCATTATAAATGCTTTTCATTCTTTTCCTAACCATAGGATTTACTAATAATTTAACTTTCTTTTATTTGAAAGACAAAGTGTAATTTTGTTTTTTAACCTACTGATAATGCTTTTGTTTTAATGTTTGCTCTACAATTAAGTAGATAAAAATGGCTTATATCAATCCTTTTTTAAAGATTCACTCGTCATGTTTTAATTAAATAAAGATCATCCTTGGGTGTATTTCTCAGGAAAGGCACTTTTACCATTCCCTGAGTTCTGGAATGTTCTAAACTGGTTTTCTGTGACTTTGATACTAAGGACGGCTTGAATGGATACATCTTTGGGTCATCCTTTCTCTAACTTTCTTGAAAATGCAGCTCCCCTATTATATTAATTTTATTTATTGTTTTAAAAAAATGATACCAGTCTATTTCTCTTGTTTTTCATAGGTTGTTTTCTCTTTTTACCTGGAGGCCCAGGATTTTTTTTTTTTTCTTTGTCATTATACTCTTAAAGTTTAAGTTGATTGGTTGGGTTATTTGCTGTAGTTGTATCTAGTAGACTTTTCCAGTGTATAGACTCACGTCTTTTATTTCTAGCCAATTTTTTGGATTGTAATGTTAAATTTTTTTTTTAAATTTCTATTTAAAAAATAAAGGTATTTTGGGGGGCTGACATTGTGGGGGCTCAGTGGTAGAGCGCTTGCCTAGCATGTGTGAGGCACCACATTTAAAAAAAAAGTGTTTTATTATTTTGATTTTTATTCTTTAGGGACGCCCATTATACATATGTTTGACTTCTTTTGCTTATTTTCCAATTCACCCACTTTTTCTCTGATTTCTTTATTCTAGTGTCATTCTTTGGCTATTTTTCTGCTTTTTAAAAATACCCTTTAGTAAATTTTCATTTAAGTGTATCTCTTATTCAGTTACCTTATAATTTAACTGTCATTTTTTAGGTGCTTTTTAAAATTGTTGCTGTATTTCTTTCCCAAATTTGATGGTTTGTTTTATTTCTCCTAGGGTTTTTAAAATTTGTCTTTAATTTTTGTGTTTCTAATTCTCTGTTTGTTTTTAGTATTCCCAGTAGCTTGTTTGGCAATATTTAATTTTTTTTGAAATGTTGTATTGCACTTCTTCTCAAGATCATGATTGGTTTGGGGAATGGGATTTTTTTCTGCATACTATTATTTGTATTTTCTGACTTTTTTGCAGTATTTCTTTTTTTTTGTACCGGGAATTGAACTTAGGGGCACTCAACCACTGAGTCACATCCCCAGCCCTATTTTTTAAATTTTATTTAGAGACAGAGTCTCGCTGGGTTGCTTAGTGCTTTACTAAATTGCTGAGGCTGGCTTTGAACTCGTGATCCTCCTAAGCCTCTGGATCTGCTGGGACTACAGATGTGCACCATTGCCCCCAGCTGCAGTATTTATTTATTTTTTAAAAATATTTTTGCTCTGTTTTTTTCTATTCATGTTTGTTACTTTAAATAGGTTTCTAGTATGGTAGTGTTTTTTTCCCCATGTTCTGTCCTCTTTTGTGCTGTTTGTTTTTTGTGGTAGTTTTATTGAGGCAAAGGATGGCTGTCTTTTCCCATTCTTTTTCTTTACTGCCTTGTATCTAAAGAGTCTCAGCAGTCTGTCTGTCTGTCTGTCTGTCTGTCTGTCTGTCTGTCTCTCTCTCTCTCTCTCTCTCTCTCC